GCTAGAAACTGAATTAGTAATTCTTGTTTTATTAAACCACAACGTTGATAAATCTGGCAAATCAGGATTTGACACGTTTGAGGGTTTTACAAAAACATTCCTTCAGAAGCCACGCCTTCCTTCAGATACAAAGGTGGTTAACTCTATGTGAATGAGAATGTTTAAAAATACTTATGTGAATTAAATATTAACATTAACAAATATCTTATTGTAATGTGTATGGGTGTAGATATTGATTCATTTGTTAAATCAAACACATATTGATCTGGTGTAGATAAGATCTGAACTGGATCATTGCAGGAACAATATTCCTTTTAAAGGACCAGTGATTAAAGCACAGATTATTTAACATTTGATGAAAACATCATGTTCATTCAACACACATGATTATTGTAACTTGTAAGTTTTAAAGTCACATAGGAACTCCCAGGAGTTTGACTTTATTCAGAGTGAGAGAGCAGCCGCCAGGCTCCTGCCTCAGACCCTGAGGAAGATGTTATGGCTTCTTGTAGCAAGAACTGTGGCAAAGATTTGTTTTGGAAGTTGGAGGCCAGACAGATGGTGCTTTCCTGTCTGTAAATGAAAGGTTATTTAGTGGTCAATTTGGTGGTCTCTAGTAGGAATGGATGCCTTGTAAGTTGTTCTCTGTGGAAAGAATGCTCCGGTGTTCGAGTACGTAGAAGTCAGCTGGAAGAGACAGAATTCAGATGGCAGGATTCGGAGTCTTATTTCCTGATATTTGGACACCTTGTCTTTGATTGGCTAACAGCTAACAAGAACGTGACTCACTCTACCACTGACTCTGCTTCGCAACAATGATGTTTTATCTCTACACATCAGAGACTTAATCACATTTAGCACACAACAGGAACATGTTATGGATCCTGGATTTTGTATTTGATCTTACAGTTTGAATCATTTTTAGCAGAGATCATTTAACAGGAAGTGCTTTTTGAAACCAAATCAATCTCAGAGCTAGCTGGGAACCTTTCATGCCGTGACCCAAAGTCCACATTCCACACACACAGTGTTCATCAGTAGGAGGGCTATTAAACACATTTTGCCAAGGTCTCAGCCTCTTTGCTGTGTTTTTTGGGGGTCTTTTGTTCCCCTGCAGTCCAGCCCCTGTACTTGGCAGCTCATCTGAGGGCCCAGGGGCAGATCTCTTGATGCAACGTTGACAGATCTGCCCGTTCTGGACCGCAGTGATGACCAGAGGGAAGGGGGAGAAGACGAAGCGAGGGAGAGGAGTGAAAGTGAAGAATGGAGGGAAGGAGAACACAGAGGAGCGGCACTTCAGATCCTCAGGGGTCGGGCCTCACACAACGTGTCCTCTCCTTGCTTCCACCGGCCTTTTCCCTCCTTCACCTCCATTGCTCTGTCACTCAGGACTAGAGTTTTTCATTTTAATAAAGCTAATCCCTCCTAAAGGTAAGCTGCTCATCACCTCTCTCCCTCCCACTCCTCGAGAACAGCATTCTCCTTTCAGCCCCAGGACAGGAGGAAGGTTTACTCCGCTTGATAGGAAAGAAGAATGTGAAAGGTGAGACTGAAAAGAAGCCTCGACAGCAGCTGTGCTCAGGTTTAATGAGCAGAGTTGGGCCTGACTGGTTTGATAAACTCACAGGTGGTGCACCTTTAGTAGTAGTTCTTCCTCCGATTCTCTTTTAACATTGTGCTGATATGGAGTGTGGAGATAAGTCTGAGTTATGTGGAGGAAGTGGAGAGAGCTGGAATTTTAACCTTCAGGTATTTATGCTATCACCTTCGTGCTGTCAACGGCACACTCAGCAGCTGTCAGCAGTAAAACTTTCATGCTGTGCAGTTAGAGGGCGATGCCCTCCCGATGCTGAATGTGGTCTCTTTTAGTAAAGTTAGACCTTTTGAGGAAGAAAATAGGATAAAAGACAACTTTAAGTGAGCCACAATGAGGAAAAGGGTAACTTTTTTATGCAAATTAACAAATTCTCCCACTCAGGCTGCTATAAGCTGAGAAGCTCCGATATGTTGAAGGGGCTCGGATCTATGTTATTTTCCCGGATTGTGATGTCACAATCGGGGACTCTTTGAAATGGCTTGTTTTAGGCACATCATTAATAAAACCAAACACTCGCAAATAAACAAATAAACAACAACAAAAACAGATGTATGGATGTTTTTTGTGTTTGGAGAGTTTAAAGAGGCAGTAGAGACAAGCATGGCTGCAGAAAATTAAATTGATTTATTGTTGCCTAAAATGACAGAAATGCACAAAAGAAAAAAAATGAATTTCAATTTCTTGGTGTGGAAATGAAATCTTCCGAATGGAATCTTCAAGTTCTGCACTGCAGCCTGATCCCAAATGTTCCTGATTTTTAGTTTGATGAATTCATAGAATATCAAAGATAATTCCGTTTGAAGCAGAGATGTATTTTAGAATCTAAAAAAATATTTTCACAGAACTGCAAACCATAAAAAACATCATCTCTCAGGTCTCTTGTCGGGTCTTATTTCTACAGACCTGCACTTTTCTAATTCAAACATCTCAGAGGTGCTAAATATTACATATCAATATTTTAGTCTGTCTCCTTCAATTCAATTCACTTCAAAAATACTTTATTAATCCCAGAGGGAAATTGATTCAATGCAACATACAAAGACATTAGACACCCCCTTACACACACACACACACACACACACACACACACACACACACACACACACACACAGAGAGAGATGCTACGTGCTGCTCTGCACCTCAGCAGTGGCTGATAAAATGACATGAATCAGAATTCTTGAGAGCTTTAAATTAGAAAATGAAAAAGAGTCAAGAGGGAGCATTCCAGAGCAGTGTCTTGGTCACCTGATCTCTTATGAGGTCGAGGGTCAGCTAATGAAACCTACCACCAACCCCAGAGAAGCTCTAGGAAGAAACAGCATGCTGGTTTGCAGCAATGGAATGAAAGCACGTAGATATAAACATAATGTAGCTGATACTAACTTTATTAAAAATGGAAATAATTTGTGATGTTTTTTTTTACTGGATCACAGAGGCAAACATCTTGTGCTAATCGCAGGTAAAACAATCTGTTTGTCTCTTGTGTTGTTTTTGTTGTCCTGCGACAAGCTCCCCATGCTCTCTCTCTTCAGACGCCATCTCACTTGGATGTCCATGTGTGAAATGTGCAGTGTACCCCCCCATGCTGGGAGATTTGTGGAAGCAGGCTCTCACAAAAACCCACACCCCACCTACCACCCTCCCCAGCAGGAGCTGCTAAGAGGCCAGCCAGAACAATGCCAAGGCAATGGCTTAATTCGCCGAGCCAGATTTACAGCCCCTCCTACACAGCACCTGCTCGCTTTGTTTCCCAGGATTTGGCTTGAAAACTTTGAAGGACCGATGATAAAAATTGAACCCCAGGCAGACCATTCTGTATGGACACCCCCCTCGGTTACAGATCTCCTTTTATGTTTGGGAAATCTCTTGGACCTAGATGAAGAAGTTAACTGAGGAAAACCTGACAGCATGAATACCCTTCATGCCAGTGGGTCACCCAGTTTATGGCTGTGCAGTTGTTCATTGCCCCAGACATTAGTGGAGTGTGGTGCATCAAAGCCCAAGCGGCTAACACCTCATGTGTAGGTGGAACCCTAAAAGTGTTTATGCTGCACGTAGTCCAACCCTTTTCCATACGACTCTCGGCGTCGGCCATCCCAACCAGACGTGCAGATGGCACATTCCTGAGCAGGTCCCAGAAAAAGTGAGAGGCGCTGCAAAACAGATTTCCCAGAGAGGTTTGGAGAGGAGCTGACTGGAGAGCAGAGGCCCCTTTTGTCACCAGGAGCTTGTTGGTGCCTCGGGGGCCATATGGACGCCTGTCTCTGTGCACTCTCACATCAGCCCATTCTTCACCCTCCTCCCCTCTGTGACAGGGCCGTCCATGTGAATGAGTCATGGCCGGACTGAAGTCGACCCTGGCTCTGTTCGGCTGAGGTGAATCCACTGTCACCCCCCAAACATTTGTTTATGTTGTTCATTGATTCTCTCAACCTCCATGCTCTCTTTCATTTTTGAGGTTTCTTAGTATGAAAACTTGACAATAGACAGCTGCCCCTGTATCTGACCTGCACCCCCACCCCCCATTTGCTGTTTCTTTTCTGACAGGACACTGCACGTCACTTTGAAACTATAGGTTTGCTTAGCTGCTTTTCATTTTTTACATCATCTTGATGGAGCTAGACTAATGACACCAGAAAGCTGGAGAAATACCAGTGGCAGCTGGTGACAAGAAACCTTGATGGGGCTGATAGTAAATTACCCTTCCAGGTCTATTATACGCATTCAGTTTGAAAATTAGTACAATTCTACAATCTTTTATTTCCCTTCTATCAATTAATCAGCTTCATGGATGAAGTCAACAAACAGATCAAGCAACATTAATACTTGAGCTTATGGGAGAAGTTCACAGCAAAGATGTCGTAACTGCTCCAGAAGGTTATTTACCTTATCGTTTACCTGTATTTAAATCCCCTCTTCACCAGCAGGCACAATTAAAATCTAGTCAAATAAACAATGAAAGTGCAGATTTGTGTTGGCAAAAGGAAATTACTACCCACACATGTGTACACACAAATAAAATACACAAGCCTGTACCGTGTGCACATTTCTACCAAATATTCAAGAGCAAGTGCACTTGTGAATGTCCATTTTTGTCCTTCTCCATGAGCATGGACGTAGTTTTGGGCAGGACAGGGGGACCATTTTCTGCAAACCTTAGAGATGGTTGTGTGTGACAATCCCAGAAGATCAGCAGTTTCTAAAACACTCAGGCCAGCCCGTCAGTCACTAGCATCGATCGATCGATAGATAGATATGTGTGTTTGTGTATACACACACACACACACACACACACACACACACACACACACACACACACACACACACACACACACACATTTTTCTCCCTTCACATGAGGGAAGGCAGGATGAGTGGCCATTGAGAGACACAGTGACACAGAACTTCTTTGTCAAAGATGTTTGAATATCAAAAATGTTACAATCTGGCTTATTGGTCATGATATAACACCATTTGATGTAATACCTCCCAAAGTACAAGTACATATCTACTCAAACTACAAGACCTATTCAACAACCTCAACGTCTAAAAAGAAAACCAACAAATAATAACAAAAACACTAATTTATAGAAACAAACATGCACTATACAGTAGCATAACCTCCTAGAAGGGCCTTACACAAGCCATGAACACAAGTCCTCAAAAATTCAGTAATAAGACAGCCTGCAGGACACGATATTCATCAATGCCACAAACTCATATAACATTAAATCTGGGTGATATTAGGGGTTGTGTGTGTGTGTGTGTTTGTGTGTGAAGCAGCTGCAGGCTCCAGGCCGATGCTTCCCAGGATGTGTTTCTCCAACTTCAGGTATTCACTGTTTTGCAAGTCCAAGTCTCCGCTATCCATCAGGGTCTTACATAATCTGTCAGGATCCTGCAGACCAAACCACATTGGGGTCAGTCATAAATGAGTTGCACCCAGTGAGGCAATTAGAAACTCTTAGTTTGAATTAGTCAGAAATTGCAGCAGAATTTTAATAAACTGACTGCGGACATGTGAAAAAACATTCTTGTTTTAAGCCAGCAGCATCCAACTCCACTTCTCGAGGCACACTATCTTGCATGTTTTTGTTGTTTTTATCCTCCAACATATCCAGTTCAGTGGCTAAATTCACTTTTCAGCACATCCTCAAGTTCTGCAGAACATTGATAATCCATTGGTTCTAATTAGGTGTGCTGTAGCAGAAAAACATCTAAATATATAGACAGTAGTGGCACACCAGTGCCCCCCCCCCCCTCGGTCCTCATGCTGGTTGTGTCCCCCCCACTTCTAAAGTCAAAACTACGTCCATGTGCTGATGAAAGATTTAGTGAGCAGAAAGACTTCCGGGCACAGCCAGATGATGCTTACACTGCCCCCAGAGGCCCGTATCACTTGACCATTGCATGAATAAAACATTAGGCAAGAAAGAATTGGAGAGACACTAACAGTAAGACAGAGACACAGTTGGACACTTTCTCCAGATGTTTCCAGTGTTTAATTAAACTGGGAAATATTGCTACTGGTTTGAAAGATTTGATTTTTACTCCAGTTATGAAAACAGTAACCTTCAGTAATGATTGTTGGGGTTGTTATGTCTGGAACAGGGTTGCCGCTGACAGACCAAACCTGGTATGTTAGTGATTTTTATTCGTCACAGTGTGGAGTCTCTCGCGTTTTCAGAATTGTACAACAAGTCACAAATCCTGCTGTGTGAACCGGGCCAAAGATTACAGAACCTTGGAAGGTTTAAACTACACTATTGTAGGGATGAACACTGGTTTGTTTAACAATTTCAAATTTCAAAACTCGTTTTTTCAAGTCAATTCAATTCAAAAATACTTTATTAATCCCAGAGGGAAATTGATTGCTGTAGTAGCTCATGTAGAGTTAAATCTGCATACTGAAATCACCTCTGATGCTATTCAGTGGAGATTCTGAAAAATGACCAATCAGATTAACCTATGAAGCTTATATCATATATATAAATATCCCGGATACTTATACATCGATCTAAGTTCATATATCAACTTGGTCGATCTAATTATAATCCAAAGATTAATGTTTAATTTAGATAATTAAATTATCAGAATAATAATAATCAAGCCGTCAAAAAGTTGTTGTATATTACAATGGCTGTTGGCAGGAAGGATCTCCAGTAGCGGTCAGTGTTGCAGCGAAACTGAAGAAGCCTCTGACTGAAGACACTCTTCCGTTGTCGGACAGTCTTGTGAAGAGAATGCTCAGGGTTGTCCATCATTTTCTTGATTCTCTGGAGAATCCTTCTTTGCATTATCTCCTCCAGCGGTTCCGAAACTGCCGAAACTCTGGCTGAGTCCTTGATAGGGCTTGGAGTTGCTCCATCTTGTTGGCCAGTGATCTCACATTGCCCATTATGATCGATGGAAGAGATGGTTTGAATTTCCTCTTTCTCTGTCTCCGTTTTGCTCCCGCTCTGCACCCACGCTTCTTGCATTTTAGCTCATTTGGGATTTGTGGCTTCAGTTGAGGTATTATTTGAGCATTTCCAATGTTAATCAGCTGCTCCCGATTGTAAACCAGACTGTTGCCATGGTTACGCATCATAACAAATGCTCAAAAAGTGAAAAAAGCTAAAAAAATAGCAGTAAAAATCCTCCAAGCTTCACAGCACCAATGTTTGGAATGTCTTTACAATCTTGGTGAACCAGTGGAACTGAAATGATGTCCCAGTTAACACATTGTATATAACTTCTTAGACCACTCACATTAGTCCTTATGCTTAAAGGTGAGGTTCACTGACAAAAAAAAACAAAACATTTTTTTCTGATTATAATCGGTCACTCTGAGTTTTTCATGTAGGCTGAACATGAAAAATAGTCTCCTACACCTATCTCCAAACCCTGCCATCTGAAGTCCTCCTCTGATCTGGCAACCTTCTAGATCCTGACACAGGCGCTCCAGGGCTTTTTGTACCAAGAGTACAACTTACAAGGCATTCCTACTAGTGTGTGAAGTGCCTTAGGGGGGTTGTAGAACCCTAAGAATGTGCTCTACAAATACAGGCCATTTACCATTTATAGACCACTGCAAATGTATTAATTAAACGAGTGAACCACACCTTTAAGTTACAAATGAGTGCTCACCATTATCTTCTCGACTTCTTCTCTCTGCTTTTGCTGCTTTGACCAGTTTTCTTCCCTCTTCATTGCTTCCGTCTCCCATTCAAAAAAATTCTTCAAATTTAAACTCTATAAACACAAGAGATAGACTAGTTAGTGTTTCTTATCTTTGACATATGCCCTAGAAATAATCCATCTGCTCATCCATTAATGAATATATTGGTGTATGTAACAAGTCCAGGAGAGATACCAATGTGTTCCCAGGTCTGCGAGGATATAACATCCCCCCTTTAGACCTGCCTCAGGGTCTCCAGCATCCTAGTCTGATGCCTGAACCGCTCCAAGCCCCCTCTGAATTTAAGAGGTCAACCCTGTGTCTCTAAAGCCGACACCAGCCACCCTACGGGGGGAAGTTTATTTCAGCCACTCATATTACCTTTTAGCTCTTTGGGGCCTGATCCAAATCTCATGAACATAGGTGATGGTTGGAATGTCTCTAACAACCGTTTTAAACATTGCTGTGAAAAAAAATTAAGCTGCAACTCCATGAATGATTTGGTGATGATGGCGATTTGGTAATCAAAAGTCAGTGTCAAAGACAATCTTGGTCCTAAAATTACACAAATGTTAAGATGTTCTAGTGTAGAGATTCACATTTCCCTCTTCTGAAGTGCTGGATTGACTTACCTCATGTTTGGAGCGAGTGTAGAGGGCCTTTGAAATACGAAAAACATGAAGAACTCCATGGTCAGTCGTGACAGCCAAGAAGTGCTCCTTGGCTGGAAATACACAAAATGTAAACGTGTCGATTTGAATTAAGCTCCTGGTTTTAACTTCCATGGGTCGAATAAAGAGCGTGAGAAAATCGACAAAACAAACACAGAACCAAGCTAAGTAACACTAGGTCTTTAAAGGTCTCATTCACCTGTTTTTCTAGTAATCTGCTGTTTACTCTAGTATGAATGAAAACCTTGTGAGTCTTTTTCTGTGTAAAGAAAACTCTTGCACACCTGTACCAGGAGTTAGAAGTTAGTCAAAGGTGTGTATGTGTGGTTGGAGGGGGGCTTCAGAATTATGGGTTTTCCATTAATATTCATTCCAGGCAAACCTCTCATCTTTCAATTGGCTAACAGAAACACAATTCTTCTGCTGTTTTCCTTCAAGGAGTGGTGGACATGTTTCATCAATACAGTTTCAGCAGTCTATAGTATGAATCATGTCTATTGTAGGAATCATATCTATAGTATGAATCATATCTATAGTAGGAATCATATCTATAGTAGGAATCATATCTATAGTAGGAATCATATCTATAGTAGGAATCATATCTATAGTAGGAATCATGTCTATTGTAGGAATCATATCTATAGTATGAATCATATCTATAGTAGGAATCATATCTATAGTAGGAATCATATCTATAGTAGGAATCATATCTATAGTATGAATCATATCTATAGTAGGAATCATATCTATAGTAGGAATCATGTCTATTGTAGGAATCATATCTATAGTATGAATCATATCTATAGTAGGAATCATATCTATAGTAGGAATCATATCTATAGTAGGAATCATATCTATAGTATGAATCATATCTATAGTAGGAATCATATCTATAGTAGGAATCATATCTATAGAGCTCTGGGAGTTGACGTCACTTCTCCCGGCATGCAACAGTTGAAATCGAACGGCGCCATCTTGGCATGCAGAAGCCCGCAGCTAGGCTATTTTTTATTGTCAGAAAACTCAATCAAACGGGAATTATGGTAGATTCCTGTTGTGCCCCAGGATGCAGAACAGACACGGACGACATAAGGAATGAGCCATCTACAGGCTTCCCCAAGATCCGGAATGCCGCAAACGTTGGATCATTGTAATAAAACGCGCTAGTGACCGGGCGAAAATGAAACTGCGGGATCCCGAGAGTAAAGGTTTTCGCTTATGCAGCGACCACTTTATATCAGGTACTTAAACCAACGTTTCCTCAACTGTGTATGGTATTTATTTTAAATGCTTTTATTATGATTCTTAGTGGGCTTCCTAAACTCATTTTGGCGTGGCTTTTTCTGTCTTATTACTCATAGCAGCAAGTAAACATCACGTAAAACGTTGCCTCGTGAGTTCTGCGTGCTGCCGTTTACGTGTTTTATGATCACAGCAATTAACCGGCTAAGCTGCATTTAATTTTTAAGCAATGGTTGATCAATTGTCAGATCACACATAAAAAGCACTTTGGATTGCTATTATCTGTTAGCCTAGTGAACTAGACCAAATTCTTGCTTTGCAAAGTTTGGTCTAGGCACGCTCCATTGGAACCTCCCCAGCTCCTACCAGGACTCTGGCTGGCCAATCACAGCTCTCTAGAGGGGTTTCAAACACATAAAGAGCTGTGATTGGTCCATAATGGTGGGCCAATCATAGTGCTCTATCTGCTTAGTGAACAAATCACAGAGCGTTATCCGCTTTGTGGGCCAATCAGGGCACTCTATGCCTGGTGGGTGGGATGATGCAACAGAGTGAAACAAGAGTATGTCACATTCATTGTCCAGTAGCATGCGGAGATCATTTGAAAGACAACGGTAGAACCCGCCCCACAACCGAGAGCTGTCAATGGAGCATGGCCAGACTAAATAATACATTTATTTAGTCTGGCTTGCCAGGCTAATTATCTGTCTCACCGAGACAGATCTCAGACAGATCCTGAGACGCTCGTGCCTGACATATTTATTTTATTCACGGAAAAAAAACAGACATGTGATTTCTCTTGGCGTTCAGTTTATACATTCAAACAGCGCAGCACTCTATTTAAACTTCTTACATGCTCTGGAGTAGGACGAGGGAAAATTAACAAGGAAATTATAAATGCCAGGGTATCTCAAATCCGGTAAGAGGTCCGCTCCGACAGCTTCTGGCATTTTAAAAAGTATCCCAGGGGCATGGTGAGGGTCGGAGATGTTTAGTCTATTTAATTTCTGACTATATCAAACGATTTATCCTGTTTTAAAGAGTGAAGTAAACTCCGACTGAGTAAAATCCAAGCCAATCCCGTTCGTTTTATTTACCTTTGTTGCCTGCCAACATGGCGTCTACTCTCTGAGAGTCACTTGACGTCCGGACTCGGAGCTCTACAGTAGGGTTCACACACTGGTGGGAATGAGCTACGATGTAGCCACAGCTGCCCTGGGGCGCACCGACAGAGGTGAGGCCTGCCAAGCACTAGCACCACCAATCCCTCCGACCACCACCAGCAGGCAAGGTGGGTTAAGTGTTTTGCCCAAGGACACAACAGCAGCATTCTCTGGTCGGAGCCGGAGTTGAACCTGCAACCTTCTGATTACTGGACAACTTGCTCTACCTCCTGAGGTACTGCTGTCCCAAGTAAATCATAAAATATAGAAGTAACCTCTTTACAATGGAACTTACGGGAAAGAGTCCAAGGTTTCATGCAGGTAATCTTTGTATTGGTCAGAAGTGGAAAGATCTGCGAAGGTTTGTGGGAATCTTCCAGCAGGTTCCACACCTCAATGTTGCCATCTTCTTTCCCAATAAAGAAAACTGCTGGTCGGGTCTGGGACCAGCATCCTGCTGAGCATTCCTGGTCTGAGTACGGTGATTTGACCAGTGGGCCAGACTGAATGTAGTTGCAAAAGAAAAAATAAACAAACTTGGCGGGAAATGTTGTAATTTGTTTACATCTCTACACAAATCAAACTCCATGTTCCAATAACTTGAATTTATAGCGGCACACATGCAATTAAGGAACCTATTTTTGGTACTGTTACCATGACTCCTTCCTTCCAAATGGCAAAGTTCCAGCCTCCCACTGTCAAAATAATGTCTTTGAAGAAGGGCGATCGCTGGATCGAGTTCACCAGCCAATGATGTGTGGGGAAACACTGGAGGGGTTTTGGCACTGGAAGATAAATAAAAGCATACACCAGGAAAAATCCTCAACAGCAAATTGGTTCCTAGGCAATCCCCTTCAATTAAAAAAGCAGTAAATAAACATCCAAATTACATCATAGCAATTACATTCAGCGATTTACTATGAGAGTGGCTTTACAGTTGTTTTGATGAAGTGGACATAATTATTCATGTTTTTGTCATTCGTTTTTCACTTTCTCCTTTTGACACTCCTCAAATAAAAACCTTGATCTGTTGTTACAAAAGAAAACTGAAACAAAAATTACAATACTATGCTTTTGTAACATTTAGAAAACACAGTTTAACGTCAGAATGCTTACTGCACAGCCGTCCAAACTCGTCCTTTTCGAGTTTCCAGTCAGTGTAGACAAGTTCCCCACTCTGCAAACAAAAACACACCAAATGTAAGAGGAATTCATCGAGCGCTGGTTTTACTGGGTGCTGAAAGTTTTACCTCTGTTCCAAAATAAAACTTTGTGTTGATTTCTTTTAGAATCTTTAGTGTTTTGCTAGCGGGTAGATAGAGCTGGCTGTTGTCAGTGGTGTTCTCAGCACCTTCTTTCACTGATGTCTCTTCTGTGTGCAGAATCAAGGTAACCAGCAAACTTCAGAAACAAAGGCAGATGGCATGCTTCCCAAACATGCTCCAAAGGCAAATACACCAACAATGTCAAAACAACAGGTTTGACTTTGGTTAACACTGAGGTTTTATTTTTAAAGGAGCAATATGTAAGAATTATACCGTGAAATAATACAAAAGCAGTCAGTCATGTCAGAAGAAAGGTTACATACATTGAAACGGATTTCCTTCTCAGCTGGCTCAGGAGTTGTCTGCTTTTCTTCTTTCAAAAAAAAAGAGGGATGTAGTTACTGTTTATATCAGTAAGTTAGTGAGATTCCCGAGTCTGCGCCAAACTAACGCTGCATTTGAAATTCGACACCAGCACGCAAAAAGCTCCAGAGTTGTTTCAAGAGACTATGTGGAGTTTGAAAAGTTTATGCTCGCCATTGCCTCCTCAGGCCAAACGTGTAACTGCAGTTTCAATAGTAAGCTCATGCATGAAGCGTGCATGCTGTACGTGCACACTCCTGAACAAAAACAACAGCTGAGTAAATCCTGTACCGATGCAATTTACAGGTTTGCTGGCATTACTTCGACAGAAGTAATAAATGTAATATAAGATGTTTAAACCAAATCAATTAGGACTATATTTTTCCAGGTTGTGATTGGTGGCCAAATGCATAACAAAGTGAATAGAGTGAAGAAGCCAGATACAGTAATACCGATATATGAATGAATCACATTTGATGGAGGAAAAACAACAAATACAAGTACACTTAGTATGTGTGACAGTGTGAGTATCCTGTCACAGTATCCCGATTGATCATGCGCCCTTGCTACTTGGCCACGGGGATGCCCCTTTGGCTGACTGGTTAGGACTCTCACCCGGGAGTCTGGGAATCGAATCTCGCCCAGGCCCTCGTTTCTCCACCTTGTTACATTTGAACATGTTGAGTTAAAAATATAAACACTTGATTTGATTAGCGACACAGTTTTACAAAGTTTAGACTGTTTTACACAATTCTAATAAATTAGACAAACAATGTAGTTTGATGTAGACACGCTGGACAAGCAGCCTATAAAATGTGCCCACTATGACATATGCAAAGCCTCCGGCTTGCTTTGAAAGCATCAACAACAAAGACTCTCAGCATTTTCCACTTCTCAAATGCCGCACTGATGTTTATTCTCGTTCTTTGCCTTCGGCAATCAGACTTGAGTTTTGCCATTTTTGTCGCACTGGAATACACTCTTCGTTTCTTTGTCTTGTTTGCGGTCTGGGCTGTAGTTTTGCTGGTGCTTGAAGCAGCTCTCTTATTGTTATAGGCTTAATCCATGATACCAAAACCACCTCTTGCTTTTCCGCGAAGCCACAGAGAGCAAATGCCACGGGGCTTCCTGAGCGTGGACGAGCATGACATCATCACGCATTACGCTGCCTCTGGAAGGCATTGGGGAAGCGTGCGTGTTCGAAATGTTCATGCTCTTTTTCTGTGATTTTACAGGAATACAGAGCCAATCACAGTAAAAATAGCAGGGATCATTCTACAAGACCAGGGCATAGCAGGAGAATGTATGAGGAAGAAATTTAAAATTTCTATTCATGTATTTGTTGTTAAACGTCCACATAGTCCCTTTAAAGAGCGCAAGCAAGTAGCAACACAGAAGTTATTTCTTGAACCCCTAAGAAGCCACGGCATCTTTTGTTTTACTCTAATATCAACTAACTGTGCATGACTCATCGTTTGTCATCTGGAATCTTCTGGTGCTGATCCGTAACTAGCAACAGCCATGAAACTCATGGGACGGCTGTGAGAAAGGGACTTTTTGTTCAGAAAAACTGGCTTCAGTAACTGAATTTGACCACAGGATGGCATACTTACTTTATTTTTACATATTGCACCTTTAAACAAAAAATAAATAAATAGCAAAGACTGAACTGCATTTAACTCTACAGGCCTTTAATTAGGACACAGAATATTTCTACATTGCCTTTGATATTTCAAATTGTAAAATAGAGAGAAAATAATTGAGTTTCCTGGAGTGATTGTGGCCCTAATGATTGATCTTTAACAGTTGAAACCGAGAAAAAAGGTCCTTCAAACCCTCACAGCCTGAAAGGTAAAGTCGTTCCTTTTGTCCTTACCTGTATTATCATTATTGGGGTAATTATCCAGGTTGAACTTTAAAGGAACATATTTTCCAGCAGAATCAATCTTAGGAGGAGAAATCTGTTACAAGACACAAAAAACGGTTTTAAATTTACATACGAATGACTAACACAGGTTACATATTCTAATTCCATACAGGTCATGAACACGCATACCCTGAACAGAGGTTTCCACGTCCCATCCAGATGTTTGAACATTTCAGCCATGCTGCTGGTGGCTGTGGCCGTCCTCTCATTCACATTCGGCTGGTTACCGTAAGCAATTGGATCAGTCCTTTGTGGTGCTCTCATGCTCCAGAACATTATAGTGCTTTGAGACAACAGGTGGACCCAGTTAAACATCATGAATAACTTTCCTTTAGCTGTCTCTATTTGTAGATGTGAGTTTGCAGTAAATTCAAATGGTCTGAAATCCAAGGATTCCAGGGAGAAGGTGACTTGGTTTAGTCTGTGGCTTTCAACAGGATTGTTTCTTTTATGCCGATGATACTGGAGTTATTACTGAAGAGTCACAGAGACCTATCAGGGATCTCAGCTATGGCATTTATACGACTGCTACAGGACCTGCCAAGGTTAACAGTCGACAATGTACACGGGATAACTCAGGCCACATCCAAGATCCTGACATCAAATAAAATCAAAGGTTCTATGGTGGATAATTATTATTTGACTCCTCGCTGATTTTGTAAGTTTGTCCAATGACAAAGAAATTAAAAGTCTAAGAACAGTATCATTTTAATGGTAGGTTTATTTTAACAGTGACAGATAGCACATCAAAAGGAAGACTCAAATATAACTTTAAATAAAAGATAGAAACAGATTTGCATTGCATTACGTTAAGGGGCTCTGCACACGGGAGGTGACAAACGACCACAATCAGCGAAATTTGCCGCTGCCGCTTTTATTACCTGACACATGGGGGGCGATCCGCCGCAGCGGCCAGCGGCAAAGCCGCCTACACGTTCTGTTCCATGGCGAAATCGAAACTTCCGTTGTTTTGTTTGGCTGTGTCAGGTTGGAGGGAATTAAGGTTATTTTAGCAGTTCAGAGTTAAAAAAAGCGGTAGATATGATGTTTCACAAGGTGCTGCTAGAGTTATGTGAAATCTTACTTCTGATTTTACTATAAAACACAATAATAATCAACTTCTCCTTCATGTTTGCTCGGAGATGTACGGAGCATCCTGTCCGCTCATTGGTCAGTGAATGAAACCTCCGTTGATTGGTCCTCGTCCGAGCGACAGCGATGAAAAGTTGAAAACATTTCAACTTTCTGGGATCGCGTCGCTGGGTCACCTGTGCACAACACGTGCACGAGCGCAAAATTTCACATGCACGTTTTTTGCGTTTCGTTTAGTAGGAGGGAGACCCGCGATTATCGCATTGTCGCGCATGTCTCATTGAAAATGAATGGAGGAGAGGAGATGTCGCCTCCCGTGTGCAGAGCCCCTAAATGAGTATTTGAACCCTCTAACAAAAAGACTTCATACTTCATGGCAAAACCCTTATTTGCAAGCACAGAGGTCAAACGTTTCTTTTAGGAGGAATTTTGGTCACTCCTCTCTGCAGATCATCTCTAACTCACCAAGGTTTCAAGGCTGTCTCTGTGCAACTTTGAGCTTCAGCTCCCTCCATTGGTTTTCTATTGTATTAGGATTTGGAGACTGACTAGGCCACTCCATGACCTTACTGTGCTTTTTCTTGAGCCACTCCTTTCTTGCCATGCTGTATGTTTTGGGTCATTGTCGTGCTGGAATCCACGACCCATTTTCAATTTCCTGGCAGAGGGAAGGAGGCTGCTGCTCAGGATTTGACAATACATGGCTACGCCTATTTTCCTGTTGATGCAGTGAAGTTGTCCTGTGCCCTTAGCATAAAAACACCCTCAAAGTAAAATGTTTCCACCTCCATGCTTGACGGTGGGTATGGTGTTTTGGGGGTCATAGGCAGCATTTTCCTTCCTCCAAAGACAGCGAGTTGAGTTAATGCTAAAGAGCTCAACTTTGGTCTCATCTGACCACAGCACCTTCTCCTAGTCACTCTCTGAATCATTCAGGTGTTCATTGGCAAACTTCAGATGGGCCTGCACATGTGCCTTCTTGAGCGGGGGGACCTTGTGAGCATTGCAGTGTAATGTGTTTCCAATGGTTTCCTTGGTGACTGTGGTCCCAGCTACTTTGAGGTCATTAGCCAACCCCCCCCCCCCCCCCCCCCCCCGTGTAGTTCTATGATTTCTCACCTTTCTCAGAATCATTGACACCCCACGAGGTGAGATTTGGCGTGGAGCCCCAGACTGAAGTCGATAAATGGTCATTTTGTGCTCTTTCCATTTCCAAACAATTGCACCAACAGCTGTCACCTTCTCTCCCAGATTCTTGCTAACGGGTTTGTAGCCTATTGCAGCCTTGTGCAGGTCTATAATCTTGTCTGACATCCTTGAACAGCTCTTTGGTCTTTCCCATGTTGGAGAGTTTGGAATCTGCTTCATTAATTGATTCTGTGGACAGGTGTCTTTACACAGGTGACTACTTAAGACAAGTGTCTTTAATGAGAGTGACTAATTGGAATAGGAGTGTCTAACCACTCTGTGGGCCCCATAACTCTTAATGGTTTGTAGGGGTTCAAATACTCATTTAACTCAATGAAATGCAAATCAGTTTCTACCTTTTATTTAAAGCTATCGTTGAATCTTCCTTTTGATGTGCTATCTGTCACTGTTAAAATAAACCTACCATAAAAATAATACTGTTCTGAGACTTTTCATTTCTTTGTTATTTGGACAAACTTACAAAATCAGCGAGGGTTCAAATAATTATTTTCTCCACCGTATATGTCCAACTACATTCCTATTAGGGCTGGGCGATATGGACCAAAACTTATATCTCAATATCTTTTAGCTGAATTCCGATATACGATATGTATCTCAATATTTTTCCTCCTGTAAAATATTTACAAGTTAACTCACTTCGAGCTGTCTTGAGAAATTATGTACATAAATCAGTAGATTAAATGCAAAAAAATGTATGGATTCTTGTCAAACTTTAACCTTAGTGCCTATTCTCTGGTACAGCTGTCTGTTAACACACACACACACACACGCACACACACACGTCACACACACACACACACACACACACACACACACACACACACACACACACACACACACACACACACACACTTGAGAGCTAGAGTGTATCAAATGTCCCACAGGCACTTTTTAATTTATAATTAATGTAAAATTATTTAAATTTCTTCTAGAGGTGGGCCATATCGTATATTTCTTGCCCAGAGAAAATAAATCTATCATGTTAAGCTAAGTGTATGATGATGTAATTGCATCTACTGAAGATCACATGGGTCATGCTCCGTGGAGTTATTAGTTATCAGGGCAAACATGGCTGGAGTCTAACAGTATTGACTCATATCAGCGATTATACTGTAATAGCTCAGAGTCTGGTTGATCTTTTATGAGTATTGTTGTCGGGCTACTATCGCCGTAACCCACGCGTTACAAACTCAACTTTTTCAACAGAATCGCTCGTAACGGAGTATTTACTAGCATAGCAAACCACAGCAGGTCTAACAGCAATCACATAAAAATCCCATAGCGAACAAAAGTATTCCTGTGACCCAGACGTGATTCAGGTGGCTAAAAAGTCAGGAAGCGTCAAACTGTGGTTCTGTGGATCAAAACACTATTGCTTCCTTATCATGTTTAACAGAATTTGGTTTAATGTACTATTTCCTGCACAATAAATGTCATATAACCAAGATTATGAATAATTGGGGCACAAGACAACTTTAAATGGACAAACTTGTATTCACTTCACTCAAAATCAAACAGAACTTGGTATCTAGCTGTAAATAATGCACGTAGGTGACATGTCACCTGCTGCCTCTTGTTTGCATTTGCAACAATAACGCCAACACTTCAGACCATGAAGCAGTTACAGGCCTTACAATAAAACACCATCTGCTTCAACACAAACACAAACTACTATCATCTTACAAATCATACTGAACGCCATAAAAACATAAATGTTTAAATCATAATAGATTTATAACGATGATGATTTTACCAGTCTGGGGAGCAGGTAACTATATGAACAGATGTTTTCAGCTCGTTCTCCACCGGTAAGCCCGTGTCTGTCACCTGAGAGAGAGAGAGAGAGAGAGAGAGAGAGAGAGAGAGAGAGAGAGAGAGAGAGAGAGAGAGAGAGAGAAGAGGAGAGAGAGAGAGAGAGAGAGAAAGAGAGAGAGAGAGAGAGAGAGAGAGAGAAAGAGAGAGAGAGAGAGAGAGAGAGAGAGAAAGAGAGAGAGAGAGAGCGAGAGAGAGAGAGAGAGAGAGAGAGAGAGAAGAGAGAGAGAGAGAGAGAGAGAGAGAGAGAGAGAGAGAAAGAGAGAGAGAGAGAGAGAGAGAGAGAGAGAGAGAGAGAGAGAGAGAGAGAGAGAGAGAGCATTTTATGAAATCAGCAACACACGTCGACAACTGAATGGGGATTGTTCTGCTGGCAAATCCATCTTGATGTACTACAACTTTTTCACTGACATGTTGTAAAGTAGGAAGCACATATCTGCCACTCTGATGAAAAAAGATCACACATCACATTATAATGACTCATAATTATGAGGTGACAAATTAAGATTTATTTTTTCACCAGAGTGGCAGAAGTGGGCTTCCATATTGGCTAATTAATTTTGGCATAAAGCTCATGATTGCGGATTAGCTATCTCATCATAATGGCATCTCATTATGATGAGATAGTTAATTCCTAATGATGAGCCAGATGCCAATAATATGGAAGTTGCTTTTTTATCAAAGTAGCGAAAATGGTCTTCCACAGTGGAAAAAAATGTAACTCTCTGGAGGCAGGCATTAAAAACCTGCCTACCTGGTTACTCCACATACGTGTTTCATGAGCATTTTTTAACTCAGAAGTACCCCTGAAAGATTTAGTTGTTCATCCTTTTATCAAAACTTATTTTGAGCCTGAGAGGGTTAAAAAAGGAAATCTTTACTCTGCAGATGAGACCTGATTTTTAACTGTTTCATGTGCCTAGTAAAAAGTGCGATAATAAAAAAAACAATTTCCATTTATTTCAGCCTTCAGTACCTCAAACGTTTGGGGCAGCCAATGCAAATCAGTAATCGGGGCTTTGTGGCTGCTCTCTATGGCCGACATTGCACAGACGTGCAGGACAGGAGCCTTATTCTCTTTGATGGTATTGAGGTTCTGGAGGGAAAACAGAAACAAAAAGCCCAGCATGTGCTGTAGTGAGATGTGACAAATCATTCAAGTCAGACAAACTGTATTCAGTTTAAAGTCGTGCAAAAAAATAGTCCAACAGATTGTCAAAATACACAAAGCTTTCAAGAAAAGCTAAATTAGTCCTGAGACTTAAAGACAAAGCTAAATGTTTCTAAATTCTAGTGACATCCACGGAGAGTGCCCCTATCATCTGTGCAAGGAAGAACAAACATAGCAGAAAAAAAGATTGACACCACATTTGCAGTTTCAGATATTATTAGTTATATCACTAGTTGGAAAAGTTACAAATAAAAACTTCCTTGGTGTTGCTTGCATAATTCTTTAATTGTCTGGTTAACCAGTGAAGTTGCTACACAGTCTCCACAGCAGTCAGCATCCAAACAAAGATGCTGTAATGGATGCAACTGCCATTGTTTGTACTGCAAACAGCAGGAAGGGCAGAAATCTGGTTCGCCTGCCTGTTATGTGTCATTCGGTGGTCGATGAGGACTTGTGCAACAGCTGCCACATTGGGCTGTTGGCTCTGAAGAATAAGGGCAAACAAGGACAAAGAGAATGGAGGAGAGAAGGAAGGGTGGGAGCTGAAGAGGGCTGGGGACAGCTGTTTCACTGTAGTCAAAAACACAAGCTGGTGGGGGTGTACGGTACGCATTTGTTTACATTTGTTTAGCAGTCAGAAGATATCTGTGCAGGCAGGGGTGTCGTGTTCCCGAGCCGAGGTGAGTGACACCTTCTCCATTCTCACTGTTATTGAGCTGATTTCCCACAGGTGAGGAGCGGAGGGGGCTGCAGCTGCAGAAGATTCCCGATCAGGAACTCGGGTATAAAAGGAGGATGGAGACACCTCACTACGCCGGATGATTGCACCAGTTTAGGTAGCCCCAGCCACTCGTACTTGTTAATTCGCTTTGTCTTTGTTTTGGAAAACTTGGATTTTGAACTCGGACTGATTTGTGGATTACGTTTGTGGATTACCCCTTACGTCTGGTGTTTGTTTGCCTTCCCTCAGGATCCTCACACAACCTGCCTCACCCTCGCTGTTTGGACTCTGGATTACTACATGCACCACGTCCCATCCTCCTCCGTTGTTCCTGTCTGGTCCCTCTCTGCTACCTCACCCATCCTGGATCGCTCACCTTCTGCCCAGCGCTCACCTCGGCTTTCCCGCCTCCCTCGTTCACCCCGAGCGCTATATGGACAAGAGCAGTACTGCTCACTCCCCACTGGACTTCCCTGTGCTATTTTTGTTCCCATTTTTGAATAAAGAACTTTTCTTTAACTCAACCAGCTCGTCGAGTTTGATTCTGCATGTCTTGGGTTAGACACGTACCTCGAGTCATGACAAGGGGACCCACAGCCGGAGTCTGACGCCAAAGTGAGGTTTTTAAAACGATTCTTCTTTGAGGAAGATGAGCTGGGTCATGTGTTGAGACTAAAAATAAGTGTTAACGGCGACGCTTGTTAAAATCTTTTTAAAGCTTTGTTTCGGTTAGTGGTCTGCTTAGTGACATATGCTTTTGGGAGGTGTGCTCATGACGTAGCGTGTCCTGCTGGAGCGACACGTCGTGCAGTCTGACTCACAGAAATCTTGCGCCATGCAGTGTGACACCTTTCTGGAATTCTCACAGTAGCAGCCTGAGTGGGGGATGGGTGTGCGTGGCCAGCAACGGTTTATTTTCTTAAAGTGACAGAGCTCTGAAACAGCTCATTCTGGAAGGCACTGAAACCATCAAGAATAAAACGGCTAAATGGCCTCACGTGAGTGCGATTTAGTGCAAAGAATTTCATGAACATGTTTTGTATCAACCATTAAGAAAAAAAATCCTAATATGTCTCCATAAAAAGTCACTCTGGCTCTAGAACAGCAGGTTGCAGACCCCTGTTCTAAATAAAGAGTATTTTTTATGACTAAATTCACACAGATGTAAAGTTTTACTAAATTAACTTCAAAAATACGCATACTGCAACTGCCTCTAGCCAGACGAGCCTGATTATGTAACTGCATTCCCATCTAATGAGAGAGGAGGAGAGAAGTCAACATATCATCATCTCACATTGTCATACACCAATTCAAGATGAGTGGTTTGTTCGACTGAGGAACAATACTTGAATAAACCCAATGTCACTTAAAAAATTCTATTACCACACAAACCACAAAATAGTTTGAAAAGAAGAAAGTATTTGTGTAATATTGTACAGGGATGAGACGCGTGTACTTACGAATATGTGAGATTTGTTTGAGGTCGTATTGCTGCCAGAAGGATCTTCTTGTAAGTGTTTGGTGTAAGCAGAAATGTCCCACAACAGAACCTGAGACAGAAGCAGTTGTTAGAGCTCAACATTTGATATAGTAAAGTAAAAAATATATATATATTCTGAAAGACCATTTTTGTTGTTGTTGTGATATTATTTTCTTAGCTGTTTCAAATTAGACAGAATTCATAAGTAATTAAAAAGTATTAATTCAATTTTGTGACACATTTTTTTCAAAGAATAAAAAAAACATTTATTATGAATCAATGTCTCTGAATAACAAAAACGGGCTGAAGATTAAAAGAAAAAAATATTAATGTGCAAGAAGCCAAATTCCTGGAATGAGGCCACGGGGATTATTAAGGTTGAATATGGAACAATTGAATAAAAAGTTATATTAAAAAATAGTAATAATATCTCCACGGGGCATTCAGATGTGTGTAGAATGAAGGGACAGTGTTTTTTTTTAAAGCTATAGTTTAATTAATTAAAAAGTAATGAAATATTTATTTTGACAGGCACAACACTGGGTTTATGTTTACATCTACCAGCCAGTAGAGGGCACCATCGTGGCAAGGCTGGCCCTGTGGAAAATGGCAGACTCGGCAAGTGAAGCAGCTGCTTCTGAGCCCAGGGGTGTTTCTCAGTGTCGAGGTACCTCACCTTGATGCCTTGGTCCCCTCCAGTTGCCTAGGAGTGTTTCCCAACCCTGGTCCTCAGGGCACACTGACCTGCATGTTTTCCATGCACACCTGATTTTCATTGGCTCCTCAGGAGGACATCAAGTGCTGCAGATGCCTGTTAATCACTCATTCAGGTGTGTGGCAGCAGGGAAACACTGGCGTTTGAAAGGGCAACAGGGAAAACATGCAGGGCAGAGTACCCTGAGGTCCGGGGTTGGGAAACACTGACCTAGGAGATATGTCATCAGGAACCGCTCCAACCCCTCTGACTCTTGGTCTCATTTACCCCTAGTTATTTGTTTATTGGACTCACCTGCCCCTTGTTATCATACCCATGTGTTTCTGACTATCCTTGTGTATTTATACCCCATGTTTTGTACTTGTCCTTTGTCAGATCATTGTTGTGTTTTCACCCTGTTGCGTTACTCCTGTTGTATCACCCTACCTGCCATTATTCATTGAATCAATTTTTTTTTAACCTGATCTGGCATTACTGCCTCCTGGTCCAGCTCCACCACACATGGGTCCACCACCATCTACACTGCACCGTGACAGAATGATCTGACCCACCTGGACCTGTGGTGAGCTTTAACACCTGCCTGGAGGATAATTTATTTTTTTGCTTTGTCCATTCCAGCAGAAGGAGTTTTGTTACTGGGGGTTTCAGCGCATCCTAGCTGTTTCCGGGTGGTCGAACCCATTCTCCTCTCCTGTGCTGCCCACCCTGTCCTGGTTTTACCACGGAAGCTGCAGAAGTCCTGGAGATTTTGTGGAGTAGACCCCCTACGCACGCCAATGTTCTCTTGGTGGTAGGGCTCGTCTCCCCGCTCCTCTACTGCTTCCCTTCACCTGAGCCTCTGCCTGTGGACCCAGTGTATCCTGATGTGCACCTGCCCTGACCGGATTGTCGGGTACCTGCCGCTGATCCTGGTTTTTTCGCTCAGCTCCTCTACAGTATATCAACTCTCCGACCATCTCCAGATCTCCTTTGGATCTACGTCTTGTGGTCCAGCCATACCGCCTGATTGGGAGGCCCCAGCTCGCTGCCTTGCCCTCAGTATCGTGCTGTCAGGTCTTGGGGTTTTCATGCGCCCTCCTGGGAGCTTCAGGTCCTTGGACTTTTGTTGGACATAGTCTCATCCTCTCCTTCTAGGAGGGACTCCTGTCATGGGTGTCAGGAGGCGCCCCTTGGGAGGGGGTACTGTCAGGATCTGCTCCAACCCCTCTGACTTTTGGTCTCATTTACCCCTAATTGGTTGTTTATTGGACTCACCTGCCCCTTGTTTCTGACTATCTTTGTATATTTATACCCCCTGTTTTGTACTTGTCCTTTGTAAGACCATTGTTGTGTTTTCACCCTGTTGCGTTACTCCTGTTGCATCATCCTACCTGCCATTATTCATTAAGTCCATTTTTTATTTTTTACCTGATCTGGCATTACTGCCTCCTGGTCCAGCTCCACCACACATGGGTCCACCACCATCTACACTGCACCGTGACACCAACAAGGCGTGTTCCAATGTCCATGTGCTACAGAGGCATCTGTTCTCCATTTGTTAACCGTTTAGCTAGCTGAGCAAAGATACACATGAGGTGTCTCCTGGCCTTGGTAAAAAAATTCCTAGAATACAGCGCAATTTTTCAATAAGATGGACCAGTGTAAGCAAAGAGCCTGGCCTAGGAAGGCGTCGCCTTGCCTGGCCAGGTGCCTTGACGTTGAGAAACACCCCCGAAGATGTCGTTATCTCAGAAAATGAGCAGCCATAAAAGATCTAAAACCTGAGTGAGTTTAGGTGAAGCCTAAAAGAGATGAATCCAAACAAAAAATGTCATGTTTTAGCAGGGTCCCTGGTGTCGCGATGGCTGGAAACCTTGTTCTATTGTTGCAACTACAACCTCCACACACTAGATGTTGCTTTGGTGTTCGTGTTCCATATTTAACTTTTAAGTAAAACTGAAAATTAAATAAAAATGTTATAACGAAACACAAGAAAAAGCTGCTGATTGTATATTATGTCAAGTGAAAACGTCACACCTGGCCATTCACGCAACCACCAGCAATGATGTTTGGATTGGAGGGGCAGAATTCAAAGGCCCAAACGTCATCTGGGCTCTCCAGAAGCAGCTTTAAAACACAGAAAATCCCAAATAAAGTTATTTGATTTTAACATTATAAATAGGTACATATTCCAATCACATGTGCTTAACTCTAGTCTCTCATTGCAAAGTCACTATTACCCAAAAGTATTTGTAGGGTGTACATCTACACTCTTTGAAGTCAACTTGATTCTGATTATGTCTGTCAACTTTACATATTCGGACCCACAACCTGAGGTGGTAGAAGCTGAGTTTTCCCCAACACACACTCCGAGTGCTGCTAACTGACACTGTTTCAGATCACACTGAACATTATCTTCACGATTTGACCAAAGGGTTCTAACGCCATCAATTCTTATGAAAGTCTGCGGGAGAAACTCATTCTTTAAAGACCAGGTTTATAGAGAAACCCTTTTTTACATGTTATTTTTAAATAAACGATCAGTTAGTCTGAGTTTAACGCGCTGGCGGAACGTGAAACATCTACCCCTATTTCCTTTGTAACGGAACGGAATGACTCTTATTTTTCCCTTCTTTGCTCAGAACTAGTCTGCATGAGATATGGTCTCAAGGTCTCATGCATTCCTTCTAACCTGATTATTTTCAGCTCAACAGAAGAATGAAGAATGAACTCTTTTCTTTTAATTAATCAAAGAACTCTATTTTAATAAAGCTAATCCATCAAAGTATTAGTCAATAAATAAGATGTGACTGACCTGTGAAATCAAAATATTAACTACTTTATTATGATCCTATAGAAATAATAAGTACTGTGACTTTAAGTGTTCCAACGGGACTCATTTCACGTAGTGTTAAAAGGACCTAACACATTACTCTCACTGATCCAATCAGAATCTTACAGATCTGACGGAGGCGTGCTTCTGATGGTGTTTGGTCATTTTCATTCGACAATAAACCATAACATCCGAGGTATAAAACTATGCCACGTCAGCTCTAACGCCAGTTCAAAGTGTTCCAGAGAAAGTGACGGAGTGGCCAATCCTGATCTTTTAACTCTTTAACCGAAAGAACCAACGACAAGCTGAAAAATCCAGTCGCTATACCAACCAGCGGCAACAGCCTTTCAGAACAAAAGCTCAACCATACACAGACCCAGGCTTTTACTTTTTCAGTGTGAGAACTTGAAGGTGTGGCATGAGTGTGTGTGAAAGGGGTCAGGTGCATGTGTCTAACGCTCAATGTGTGAGAGTTGGCAGCCCTGAGAAACGACCCGTTAGCATTAACAACTCTACCACACAGCAGAACTCCTCCAGGCTTGTATTACTTGTAGAGATTAAACATCAACGCTGCAGTGGTAGAGTTGTGTTGCTGTGAGCCAATCCAAGGTGAGATGTCCAAATATCAGGAAATAAAACTCCAATTCCTGTCGTCTGAAATTAATCTCTGATGTGGCTCACTCCTACTTCCTGAAACTAGCACACTGGAGCTCTGATTCCCCAGAGTACGACTTACAAGGCATTCCTTCCTACTAGAGACCACAGCATATGTATTGATTAATCAAGTGATCCACACCTTATAATCTTACATCTGCATGTATAACACATGCCCCAATAAGAAAAACATGAAATTAACTTTATAAGATGCATAAAAGGACTGCAGTGCTTTGCCCCCTGCAGCAATTCTTCTCTATGCAACAAACACAGAGACAATGCGTGACTTCAGGGAAGATTTACACAAATCAGAAGTGGGGTTACTTTACTTTAGCAGCTCAGGTTTATCGATTAAGAGCCTGGGTCAATTCAATAAGGCCTCTCAGATGTTCCTACAGCAAATGATCTTGAATGTCACATTAAACTTTCTTCTCAACCAAATATCAGATGAGAAGGTCTCTTAAGTTTCTGCAAAAGTGGTGCTCTCTTACCTTGATAGTTTTGTCAGATAAGCTGTAGAAGATGATGAAAGCAGGTCTGGAGAGCGGCACTGTGATTGTGGTCTCTTTATTCTTTGTCTGCATGTTGTCTATCAGAGCCACAGCCATAACACCTGCCAAATCAAAGTGTTGAGTTGCAAAGACATCTTAAAAGAGGATGGTAAAAATGCTGCCAATGCCTACATTTCATGATGCCAGCCATGATTAAACCCCAACAGACTAACTAGATTGATGATTTTATTCAGTCAAATGACTTAAACAATACACAAAACTTCAGTCCTAATATTGTTTTTGAAGCAAATGACAACACCCTGGCTTTTCTGAAACGTTAACTATATCGGTCCACTGATTAAAATTCTGAGCTTTTACCATCGATGGTGGGGTGCCAGTTCATGCAGCTGATTTTCTTGTCTGTGGTACACTTCGGGTCTCTGAAGGAAAAGTACAACTCTAAATATCCAGAAATCTGTCTAGCCCCATCATCTTCAAACTCTGTCTCTAAAGACTTCCAGGGATCCTTTGCAATCTCTCCCTCCTGCAGGGCTTTTAAGATCCTGCAACACAAGAAATGAATTCATGGTAAAGATGAAGATGCTGTTCTTTCTGGTCATTTTTATGTTCTATTATAGAAACAACATATGGGTTTGAGCTTTTATAAGAGGCAAACCAATATGGGAAGAAAATAACTTTTTTACCTGGGAGTCACTTTGTTACAAAAACTCTTCAGACTCTCATCCTGAAGGATGCTTTTCAGCTCCTCATTGCTTAACTGCCTTGGGCTGTACTGGCTGAAGTTATTCCTCTGAGGACTTCTGTAAAACGAACACAGGCAGACAAATTACATCAGGGATAGAATTAATGTAAAGATACAATTATGGGTGGGATTTAACTCTTTGGTGCATAATGGTCACTGCAGTGGACAGGTACTCAAAATTGTTATGTATTTATTTTTGCTATTAAGCACAGCTGTTGAAGACTTTATTGCATTTGAGCCCCGCCATTTGGACTTCAGTGAGTCAAGTCAACATATTTCATGTTCAGAATGCACACTGTCCACTGAGGTGGACATGTAATAAATTATTTGTAAATTAACAAAATGTTACAAAAAATATTTGTTGAAATTTGTTTCATTCACACCTAAAGATGAATAAAAAAATTGTTTAAAAAATCATGGTTGAAGATTTCATAATTCATGCATCAGAGGGTCAATGCGATAATGGTGATTAATTACTTTTTTTTAAATTATGCATTGAAAAAGTACCCCTTGGGTCTGAGCACGCCCCAATTGGGTGGCGAAAAACTCTAGCATCAAACTTTATGACCTATATATATATCATCAAGCTGCACCTCTAACAAAACTGCAGAGCCTGAGCTACAAGACCATATCAACCTTTTCTAGGTGCTTCAAACACAACAAAAACTACAATTAAACAAAACATGACAAACCGTTCTTCATGAAGAAAATAAAGAAAAAAAATTCACCTTTTTTGTTCTGTTTTGTAGTCGTTAGAAAGCCTCAGCAGTACTTCCCCTGAACTCTATACTACACCTCTATATACACTAGCAGTGCTCTGCTGCCACCTAGTGTTAGGTTACCTTTATAATGAGATCAAAGTATTAAAAGAGATCTTGTGGTTACATAAATATACTTATTAAAGGTGTGGGCATGTCATCTGCGCCTCACTAACATTATTTTTAATAAAAAGTCATTTCCTGGGCGCAAATTGTCTTGAACGATCAAAGTGTGATTAATCAAGATTAATCAATTACAAAACTTCAAATCAATTACATTTATTTATAAACTGAGTCCAACCCCTAGATAAAACACAAGAAAACAAAGTCTGCCTTTGTCTTACTGGCATGTTATATGTATAGTTTTGTTGCCGTACCGGTGTGTCTGAGTACTGTCATTTTGCAGCACAGTAACAGGCTGAATCCCGACGTCTCTCTGCATCAGTTTGATGCTGAACCTGCTGTGGTTCTCAGAGGGAATCTCCAGTACGTTGTCTGTGGTGGTGCTGTCAGAAAAACTAAAGGGTTGTCCAAATCTACGATGAACTTTCTGGACCAGGATCTTCAGCTGATGAGGAGAAGGTGATAGAATTGATAGAGATGTGAAATGGAAACACAGACATGAATGAGACTAAGACTGGATTTAAGCTATACTGCAGTGCCTTTTCTCTTGTCTCCTTGACAGACTCTTCATCAATTTCCTTTTCACTGCCAAGCGATATCCATCCCTTTGGTTCTGGTGTTACAGTCTCAGGGGGCTGCAAAACACAGACAGAATTACAAGAAGACACAGAACAGATGACCTGAAATACAAGGATACGGTTTCACGTGATGGTGGAAACTGAGAAATCTTCACATGCATTATAAAAAAAGAGTTCTGCTTACTGCTAGTATCCGGTTCTTGGCCTCTGGTGTCAAAACCAAGTAGAAGCTCTGACCATAAGTCAAGTCTGGGTCAAAAACCAGCAGGAGCTCCTCCTCTGGGTAGTCCTGTTAGTTAGAAAAACGTGTGGAACTCTCAATATTCAGTTTTTAATTTTGGATTAAATGTAAAATTTATGAGATGCTTTTGGGGGGAATGCAAAATTTCTTCCCAAAATGGAACATTTTGTTTATGACAAATAATATTATGGGGTTAAAAATACAGAAACCTCTGTAAGCATCACTAGCATGAAGGAGAGGGCTTTCCTGTAAAAAGGAAAGCTGGCAGGGCTGATGAGTCAGTACGAGTCCCTCAGGAGACTAGATGGCCTCATTAGAGTAATGTGCTGCAATAGAAGGAGCAATAATGCATCAAGTATGGAGGGGGGTGTTTTTTTTTTAAATCAAAATCAGACAGAGAGAGATTATATGCTAATTTAACTCTGCTCGTCATGGGAGGATCTAGAAATGTATACAGGAGGCAAAGGGTCTGGGCATTAGCGGCATTAAACATCAAGTATGAGGGCTCACTAAGTTTTTATTTCAAAATCAGACTTTTAGTCAAGATGATCTCTGCTATTCAGTGACGAACTTAGAAACGTTTACATGGAGGGGCAAAGGGTCTAAACAGGAGAGCAGAAACCCTTTATAACTATTAATTGTGTCATTATTCCTTCTAAGAAAACAAAATATTTTGGTGTAAATGAGAAAAAAATACATGTTCAACAAAATAGATACAGAAGATAAATTAAGTTTATGCACATTTTAAGGATATAAAAGTAAGGGGGCAGCTGAGGGGGCTCAGTAGAAGGGAAGTTGCCTCCGACCCCACCCACGGTAGATCCGCCCCTGCTGCTCCAACAGCCTTCATCCCTGGGTCTCTATCTCAGTCTTACCAGCACAATCTGCTTCACAGAACTAAAGTCAGACGTCTCAGCCCTTTTCTTGATGTCCTCCATGATGATGTCTTTTTTCAGCAGCTTGTAAGTGCTCTTCTGTGTGATGTCCTCATCAGCGCAACAACCGAAGAGCTCCTGGGTGGCTGACGTCAGGGCCACGGGGAAGATGTCATCAGGGTGATCTTGATAACAGAAATTACAACCAGTAGTGAGGATTTACAGTAATAATGGTGAATGCTGAAACATCTCTCTTATGTTTTTGGTCTTAAAGAATATCCATAATTAATATAATTTTATTTTATTCTAAAATAACTAATTTTATAGGATCAGAATAAACAGAAATGTTACTGATGACATCAAACATGAAAAAATAACTTGAAAATAAAGCAAGTAACAAATGTTATGATAATATTTTAGGGATTGTTTTCTTTTTACAATACTGTTATTTTTAAATGACATCTAACTGAATCTCTACTGTGTAATTTCTTTTTTTTAGATTTTTCTATTTCATACACACAACATCTGTGCACATCCTCTGTATGTTCGCCCTTGCTCACATCCGGGCACACATCAGCAAACAGGGCTCTGCATAATAATAGTTTTCCTGCTGCTTGTGGTCTCTCCCGTCAAAGTTCTTCCACAAGGTTGCTGTGAGGACGTCAGGAATGCTAAAGTAAAGCTTAAGTAACCACTTCCCAGCTGGGCGTGCCAACCTTTTCCACTCACACCACTTAGGCCTTGTGCCAAATCATTGTAGTGGAAACTCACACCCTTCATTTCACAAACTTATGAGTCAACTTTGGAATTTGCACAGATGGGAAAAAGAGTATAATGTTCTATTTCCCCTCAAAGTAATGTAGTTCTCCATAAACTTATCTTTACTTTGCCAGGCTTCACTAATACCAAACAAAAGTCCATAATTATGATAGTTTTAAATTAAATTAGCTTTCTTTCTGTCTCTGTTACTAGAATGTATATTTATTTCAAACATTGACAGCCTCTTAAAGGGGCATTATGGAAGTTTGACAGCCAAAACATGTATAGAAATAATAAATGTCTTCTTCATACATTCTCCTGCAATGCCCTGGTCCTGTAGAATGAGCCCTGGCATTTTTACTGTGATTGCATGTTTTTCTGTATAATCACAGAAAAAGAGAGATGCTCGGGTCGAGCAGGCTGCTTCATGCGCGTTCACGCTCAGGCATAGCCCGTAGCATTTGCTATCAGTAGCTTAGCAGCAGAGAGAGAGGCAGTGCCAACTCAGCGACTTTGTCGCTGTTCCTAACGCCTAGTGACAAAGCTAGCTACATTTCTGAGGACCCTTAGCTACTTTCTGTAGAACTTTCTTCTAGATATTTCCTGCAAATTAGCAAGAAAATAGCCATTTTCGCTTCGAATCCTTCGTTGGTTTGACGTTGTTTCAGCTGTCATCAAGGATATAAATGTTGCAGATACTATTAATGTTACTAGAGTATAGCTCACCTTGTAAGATGTCTGACTATCATGCAGAAGTCCTGGATATTAACATTGTTTATTTAGAGTTTCTCTTTTACATTAATGATATATTTTTTTATAGCAAGATGCCCAAATTTTTATTTGAGACTCGCCAAACGGCATTGAATTCACAGATAAAAAAGATGTGAGTTCAACTTTCATTTTGGAACAATTTTTCAAGCAATGGAAGGGAATGATCTGAGCATGCAGGAGGACTGACCCATCATAAACCTTTGTCGGCTGTGCTGAAGAGAAAGGTACAGAACCACATTATTTAATTAATTAGCTGCACGTTCTCCTGTCCTCTGTCCTCCGGGCCACACACACACACACACACACACACACACACACACACACACACACACACACACACACACACACACATACGCGCACACACACACACACACACACACACACACATACAAACACACGGGACTGTCTCAGCAGTTATTTTCGTTAAGGAGTGTGCACGTACAGCATGCGCGCCTCGTGCACGAGCCTACTATTGAAGCTGCTGTTATGCTTTTGGCCTGAGGGGGCAATCGCGAGCAAAAAAATTCAAAAGTCCGTAAAGTCCCTTTAAGGAGTTATGCTAATAAGTCAGCATTTAATTCTCAAACTCACTTCCTTTTCTTTGCTTTTGATGCTTAGATTGTTTTCCTGTCCTCCTCTTTTATGTAGGTTAGCTATTCTAGAACTGCCTTTAGATGAGTGTGTGTTATGCTCCTTGTGGTCTTTATATGGAACTTGTAATTGGTCAATGTGTTGTCCTGCTTTGATATTTTGCTACTGTTCAGCACTTTCTGTAAACCTCCTGTTGTGTCTGAAAGTGCTTTACAGATCTAATGATATGGTATGGTATGGTATGGTATGGTATGGTATGGTATGGTATGGTATGGTATGGTATGGTATGGTATGGTGTGGTATGGTGTGTTATGGTGTGGTGTGGAATGGTACGGTACGGTATGGCATGTGTCTCCCACTAGGGGGCAGTATTGGATAGGAGAAGTAGGTAAGAGAGAGAAGAAGTGCTGGAGAAAGTTAAAAAGCAAGTTACCCTCTACATGAAACTTACTTCACTCCCACTTCATGCTTGAAAAATGCAACAAATGCTGTTGCCTGGCAGACCAAGAGGGCAGAGCCTCTAACAAATACACACAAACAGGCTCACAACAGCATTATGACATCATAACGTCATAGTATACCTCTTACCCCCAAGTTCCACTACCTCCGCACCGCCCCCGCCCTCCGCAGCCGCTTGCTTCCGAACTCAATTTTTACTGGTACCCGCTCTACAACGGCTCCGCTCCGGTGCGGAGACCTGAGGTGCGCAAACAAGCATGCACGGGATTTTCGAGATCTTGCGATACAGTCCGAGCAATAAACGCGGAAGTTAGATCCAAACACCCGTTGTGTGGGAGAAGCATCGAAATGAACTGTTTAATCTGCCCATCATTTGTGTTGAGAGATCAGCAGTGTTTGGATCAACAAAGTGTGACTACTTTGAAAGTGGAAACTGTATTTATGGCTTACTTTTGTGCATTTAAAGTTCAGCCACCATCGATAGTTGTTAAAAGTTGGTAAACCTGTGCATATGAAACAAAAAACGCCTTTTGTTTATCGATTTATTGTGAAATAACGAAAGTTGTGCTTGCTCCCTTTCCTGTTGGGCGGTTGTGATTCCTGTCCATTGACTGCGGAGGTGCTCAGGCGTCCGGCAAAAATAGGATAGATTCTATTTTTGCCGGACGCTGGAACAGAGGGCAGTGCACTGCGCCGCACTGCTGCAGCACGGCCACAGTAGTGGAATAGCTCTGATTGACTACAATGGGACCGATTTTGCTGCGGAGTTCGTGACGGAGCGGAGCGGAGGTAGTGGAATTTGGGGGTTAGCCAATAGCGGTGGCAGATTTAAATTCAAATGTGGTGCAGAGTTTTTACCCGACGACGGCGCAACACTGACAGTTTTAGGCAGAATATTTAAATTTTAACTAAGATGCACTAAAGTGCCAAATCATTGACTACATGTGTCTACAGCACAATTTGACACTCATTTATGTAGTTTATCAGCAAAAAAAGTTGATTTGGGTGACTTGCTCTTTACATGTCGGTACATGTGACGCAGGTTTGAATAAAGCTTGGAAAAGGAATTCTTGCCTACTCGCGCTAGTTTCTGATACAATGGCCGCCCATAACAGCATGGTATGGCATGGTATAGTACACTGGGCTGTCAACTCACACACTGAACTTGAGACACAGGCATTTAACGTTCTTCACACACTTTCACGCCACACCTCCAATATCTCACGCTGAATAATCAATACCGCCCCCCACCTCTGACGTTCGGCGAATGGGCTAAAAGCAGTCCATGCTCAACACCCCAACCCCACGTTCTCACAGTTAGCGAATGGGGGATTCCCATCACTGGATCTGGTACAGTCGGGTCTGGTTATCTTTGGACCAGTGTGTTCCGGTATTGGTCTGCAGTTTTTAGGCGAGCGTTTCGATCGCAGTTTAGGACATCACGTCAGCAGGCGGGGTTAAACAACCATCACGCACGATTTTATAAATTGTGCAAATATTCAGTATTTTTGTGCAGCAAGAAATGGTGTACAGCTCTAAAGACAAAAACTAAAAGCTTACCACAGGCTCCACTTGTGACTCCAGAGGACTACCTCGCTGCCTCGGCTATAAATAGCATCCAGCACATCGTAGCTACTCCGTGTATTTCTAATATCTGAAAAAAGAATCCACACACTGCAGCTTTTTCTGTCCTTAACTTTTCTATATTGGGTTTTAATTTCTTCATCTTGGCCTGACACTGCCGACGTCTGCTCTGATCCTTCAGATGCCATCTGATGAGAAAACAAACGTCCTTACCGATCTGTCAGGCTCCTTCTATGTACTCTAGAAGCTCTCAGGATGACGGTGAGGAGTGTACGGAGCTCTGAAGATGGCCAAAACTTGCTGCTACTTGCTGGCATTTTTTTTACATTCATGTACAGCTAATGAAAATACAAACAACTCTGTTTGTTTTGCTCGTTGCAAGTAGTGACGTACTTCTGTCAACCTAACCCTACAACAGAAGGGGGCCAAAAATGTCCAGTGACTGGCGCGGTCGGGACTTATTGTCTGGACCAGTTTTACAGTCGGAACACAAGAATTAGTGAACCGATCATCCCTATTCAATGCCAAATCAGTCAATGGAAATGCACTATTAGTGTATCTTTCTTCAGGCCACACATCAGGGGCAATTTTCAGATTTGTGGTTCACATTCACTTTTAGGGTTAAGACATGGACTTTGGTGAAGTGGAAGGGCAAAGTTGAGTTAAGGCGGAGCTAAATCCCAAAGGAATGTCTGGAAGTTGGTTCGGATTAGCCATGGCTTGAATTTATATTGCTGAGAATATGAGCTGTGATGGGATTAAACTGATGCACAAATAAACAAAACATAACAATGTAACCCTTAGGAATCTCAGAACAGTGATTTAGACCTCCTGTGAGTGAAACAATGACCTACACAGTAAGCAGACAGTGACATTCATATTGACCAAAAGAACGTTTGCAGGGTTAACCTCATAAACACCAGTGACAAGGACCTCCAGCTGAAAAAGCGTGTCCAGAGGGCACAACTGAGTCGCATCCGAGCTGGGCAGACACTGTGCTTCTTAGACCTTTTGTTTCTGAGTCGTCAGTAAATGTGTTTTATTTTCAGCTGTCCTGGTTAAACAGCATATTTCACAATAGAAGAACAGCTTGTGTTATTTTGTAAACCCTCTAGGTGTATTGTGTTCATAATCAGTCACACAACAACAAAACTCCTCACAAATATCATTTAACCTTACTTTGTTGATCTTGTTTAAACTTTTTGTCGACATTTAATGATAAACAAATAATTTCACATTGAATCAATGTTAATGAGAAACTTTTTACAGACTATGTTTATGTTTATTTATTTGGAAGACGCTTTTATCCAAAGCGACTTACAATTTATAACCTATAGGGCATGTTGTGATCTGTGGGGGAAACCGGAGTACCCGGGGGGTAGAGAACACGCAACTCCACGCAGAAAGGCCGCAGCCGAGTTTTGAACCTGCAACCTTCGTGCTGCGAGGCAGCAGTGCTAACAACTGCGCCACCATGCAGCCCAGGTAGCCCAGACTGCATAAAGGCTTGATTCTCTTACCGATGTTAACTTCTGATTGTTGAGACCCACTCCTCCTTCCTGAAAGTGAAATAAAAGGGAGTAATTCACTTAATTAGTAATATGAAATAGTTTTTTATTAGATTTAAGCCAAAGACTAAAATGGATTAATTAAAAGTATGTATGTAAATGATAAGATGCTCACCTTTGCCTTTCCCCTTACTCCGTGCGCTGCTTGTAGATCTTTTGCGTCTTTTAGGTGGCATCCTTGTTCTTTGGACTTACGGATTCTCTAAAGAAAAAAAACTGATTTAAATTCATCTCAGATGTTTATTTCATTTGTAATTCATAGTAAATTACAGAAAAATGCATTGGTGATTGAAAGGTTTGAAAGTGTCGCCATCTTGTGGAAAATAAACAGAACTGTCCTGTTTTGTTTTTATGGGATGTGTGGAAAAAGCTGTTAAATCGTCTAATTTCTTAGCACAATTGTAGAACAACAAAATTGACCTGGATCTCGAAAAAGTTTATGATCGTTTTTCTTTTTAATTTGAGGCAAAATATAAATAAACTACAGGTCAATGCAAGAAAGTTGCACATTTTGTTCAGAAACATGCTGAGCTTTGCCAATTTTACCTTTATTTGTAAAACATACGGTATGGGACGTTTAAATTTAAAAAGTATTTATCTATTTTTTCTTTAGTTATATGAATAATAAAAATTCAGGTTCAGATTCAGGTTTTGAGGGCCGCTTCTGGTTACTTTTCCAGTGCGGATGTACCAGCATTAAAGTTTGAATCATCTATTAGGAGTATAATTAATAGAACCATGTTACATTTCTGTCTAACTTGAAAACTATGTCTTGCTAAGTCAGCAAGATATTCTTTAAGGACAAGTTGTTCCGTTTTTAGCAATGTTGTGCTCAATGAATAACTTGCTTATTCTGATTTCTTGAAATGTAACAAATAGATGTGCAAAGTGGTTTTTCCACTTAAATCATTCAGTAAAGTATTTAGAGAGAAAGCTAAGAGACCATTCGCCCAACAGTGCGACCATACACCAACAAGTTCCGTGTAAACTTGGGCCGTTTTTAGCTAAACAATGCAAAATACTGGATTAAACCACAACTGCACACCCACACATTTTAAACATGAACATGACTCAGTGGTTCATGCAAATTTTGGCAACAAAAAGCTAATTTAGAGGCTGATGACTCCGGTCTGAACACGCCTGGCCTAAAAACCACAAGTTGCAGAATGCAGGGGTGAGGAAAAGTTGTAACAAGTGCATTTTAAAGTCACTTTACTGTTTAAGTTCATGTTTTATGGTCATGATATTAATACAAATGCACGTGTGAGCACTTCATTTTTATTAGGCCCGAGCAGCGAAAGCGCTGCGAAGGCCTCTTGTTTTTGCTCTGATTATTAGGCCCGAGCAGTGAAGCTGCGAAGGCCTATTGTATCTGCTCCGTTTATTAGGCCCGAGCAGCGAAAGCGCTGCGAAGGCCTCTTGTTTTTGCTCTGTTTATTATTTTTCTTTATTATTATTTTTTGTTATTCTCGTGCCCCTTTGAACGGCTTTTTGGGGACCTTAGCATACCCCAAAACTCACAATATTTTGCAAACTTGTCAGGCCTGGTGAAAAATTTGATATTTTAAAGGTCCCAAAAAAATCGCACAGAAAATGACTGAACAGCGCCCCCTAGAAAGTGAAAAAAAACCCTCTCCATAAAGCTTAGTTTATCGTACAGTTATGAAATTTGGTACACTTGTAGTACTCAATAGTCCGCACAGAAAAGTCTCTTGCAAGCATGGTCAATATCAAACAGGAAGTCGGCCATTTTGGGTTGAAATGGCGATTTTTTGCCGTTTTTGCCGTTTTTAGGGTCCGTTTCTGATTGGATTGCTCGATCATTTTTCGCACGATCGTCTCAAAAATTGTGTAAAATTGCTAAGAAGGGATGGGCGAACAAAATGAGATGAGAATTCTGAGTTTTCGTATATGTTGAAGGGGCGGGGCCAGGCCTCGAAGTTTGACTACTCGCCAAAAATATTTAAATTGCTATAACTTCATAACTGAATGGAATAGAGTTACCAAACTTTCTGTGGTCATTCGTCATCCACCCACAAAGTAAATTGAATGGTCGGATGATGACATCACACAAGCCCCGCCCCCTCAGGACCAAAAAGATCAAGTTTTACTGTGAAAGGTCCCAAATTGCCCCATTTCACTTAATCACCACAAATTTGTAGCTGTTAACTCAAGACAAGTGGGGGTTGCTTGGCGTCACTTTATGGGAGTTTTCGGCAGAGGGCGGGGCTGTGGCGGCGCGGCGAAGTCAGGCGTACCGCCGTGGCCTTACGTTTGCCTCCCATTTCGTCATTTCCAAAGATATCGTCACGAAACTTCTTGTGAGTGATCCTAGTCCGGCCCCCCAAAAGATCTGATGTGAACATCTGGTGGGCGTGGCCTATTTTCTGAAATAGCGCCCCCTAGGACCATTAAAACTGTCAGCCCCAAGCCATGCTTTGACTGAGGATTACGAAATTTGGTACACTAATGTGGTGTCTCAGGACCTACAAAAAAGTCTCTTGGAGCCAAGTGCAAAGTCGCACAGGAAGTCGGCCATTTTGGTCCAAGTGCGCGATTTAGTGGTTTTCACACACGTTGTTTGGAGAGTGATACTCCGTCGCCCTTTTCACCAATCACTTTCAAACTTCTGCTATATAGTCTTAAGACATAGAGGAAAAAATTCAACCGTCGGATTTTAAATAAGTATAAAGGTGTGGGCGTGGCTAAGCCTCAAACTTTGACCTTTCGCCACGCCACTCTTTTTTTCACAGCTCCTTATTGGACTCCTTTTACCCAATCACCAGGAATCTCTGGTAAATAGCAGCAGGCAAGTTGAGGTCACTTGGTCTCCAGTACTGGAAGGTTTTGAAAAAAGGCGGGGCTTTGGGAGCATGGCGAAATTCGCCATCACGCCATGGAAATACGTTTGCCTCTCATTTCTTCATTTATCGTGATATCACCTCGACCATTGTTGTGAGTGATCCTAGTCTGACCCCCAATAGAAAAGGTCAGCTTAAGTTTGTGGGCGTGGCCTATTTTCTGTATTAGCACCCCCTAGGACCATTAAAACTGTCAGCCCCAAGCCATGCTTTGACTGAGGATTACGAAATTTGGTACACTAATGTGGTGTCTCAGGACCTACAAAAAAGTCTCTTGGAGCCAAGTGCAAAGTCGCACAGGAAGTCGGCCATTTTGGTCCAAGTGCGCGATTTAGTGGTTTTCACACACGTTGTTTGGAGAGTGATGCTCCGTCGCCCTTTTCACCAATCGCCTTCGAGCTTCTGCTATATACTCTTAAGACATAGAGGAAAAAATTCAACCGTCGGATTTTAAATAAGTATAAAGGTGTGGGCGTGGCTAAGCCTCAAACTTTGACCTTTCGCCACGCCACTCTTTTTTTCACAGCTCCCTATTGGACTCCTTTTACCCAATCACCTGGAATCTCTGGTAAATAGCAGCTGACAAGTTGAGGTCACTTGGTCTACAGTACTGGCAGGTTTTGAAAAAAGGCGGGGCTTTGGGAGCATGGCGAAATTCGCCATCACGCCATGGCAATACGTTTGCCTCTCATTTCTTCAATTATCGTGACATCGCCACAAAATGTCTGGTGAGTGATCCTAGTCTGACCCCCAATAGAAATGGGCATCTGAGATTTGTGGGCGTGGCCTATATTCTGAAATAGCGCCCCCTAGGACCATTAAAACTGTCAGCCCCAAGACAAGGTTTGACTGAGGATTACGAAAATTGGTACACTCATGTAGGGTCTCTGGCCCTACAAAAAAGTCTCTTGGAGCCAAGCGCAATTTCGCACAGGAGGTCGGCCATTTTGGTCCAAGTACTCGATTTAGTGGTTTTCGCACACGTTGTTTGGACATTGATGGGCTGTTGCCCTTTACACCGATCACCTTCAAACTTATGCTATGTACTTTTAAGTCAAAGGGGAAAAAATTCAACCGTCGGATTTTAAATAAGTATAAAGGTGTGGGCGTGGCTAAGCCTCAAACTTTGACCTTTCGCCATGACATTACTTGACTTAATAACTCCCATGTGCATGATCAGATCTAATTCACTGACCACATCTCAAGACAACGACAATGTGGACAGCTGACATCACCTAAGCCCCGCCCCCTGACAACAGGAAGTCTATTGTTTTATGGTGAAATGCCCATATTTGTCCCCTCTAATTTAATGAAAATGACACTCAGGTCATACAGTGTCTTCATGATGTTTTAAAGACCATTCAGATCTGATAGCTTTCCAGAAAGGGAGGGGCTTTGATGCCATGGTGAATGCTGGCGTGACGCCATGACCTTACATTTGACTGTAACTTCCACAAACGGCCTCCGATTTGCCCGAAACTGAATATGGCAATGAACAATCATGCCCTTTAGCCAATGAGGCACAAACGGTTGGTGAATGTTATATAATGTCACCAAAGCTGACCTCAATGGGACTTTTCTGTAGTTGGTCACAGCGCCACCTAGATAACGTTATCCTTCCATAACTTTAAAAAACATGGTCAGAATAGCATTAAAGTTGGTCACTGTCATCACACCACCAGTGTGGTAAAGATAGAGGATTCCCTAGTGGTGAGACATAAAATATAATGGTGGGCTCAAAGGGGATGCTGAGTCAGGGTGAGTTGCGGACAAGGTGGCCGTTAGCAGTTTCTGGTGTTGGGGTGGTCGACGTTTGTGTTCTGCGGACGTGCCCTGGTGCCCCGGGCTGCCGGCCAGGCCGGAGCGGCGCGGAGCTGCGAGGGCCGAACGACGCTGCTTGCAGCTTTAATTCTTATTAGGCCCGAGCAGTGAAGCTGCGAAGGCCTATTGTATCTGCTCCGTTTATTCTTATTATTATTCTTTTTTCTTCCGCGTCTTTGAATGGCCTTTAGGGGGTCTTAGCATATCCAAAAACTCACCAAATTCTGGCCCAATATAGAAAGTGCGTGAAATTTACGTATTTCACTGGCGATTTGAAAGTTTGTCAAAAAGTGACTGAACAGCGCCCCCTAGAAAGTGAAAAATACCCCTCTCCATAAAGCTTAGTTTATCGTACAGTTATGAAATTTGGTATACTTGTAGTACTCAACAGTCCGCACAGAAAAGTCTCTTGCAACCATGGTCAATATCAAACAGGAAGTCGGCCATTTTGGAGTAAAGTGGCCATTTTGACCCCGTTTTGGCCATTTCTAGGGTCTATATTTGGTTGAACAGTTTGGTC